CGCGCGAGACACAAACGACCGCGTAACACGCGTCTAGCGATAACTCGCTATTGACTCGACACACACACTCGACATCATGACTCAACATTCACACACAATTATAAGCATGAAATATATATTATCCCATGCCCTCATACCATTCCATACACACACACATTCACGCACACGGACAACAAGCCGAGTGCAAACCGTAGGGTTGCACCAACACTTGTACTCCTTATCTTGCTAGTCCAATCACTTCTCTCATTCTGACATGGTATTACGAGCCTAGGTTAGGAACCTAGGACCACTTACCTAAGGGCCCACAGTTCCGCTAGAAGCGCCCTCGAGCGCCCTATCGACTTAGCGCCCTCGAGCTCCTCTCTCCTAGTGCGCCCTCGTGCGCCTCTCCTTCTCCTGCTGCCCGTGCGCAGCTCGCTAGTGCCGCGCGCGGCCTTTTTTTTAGCGCGCGTAGCCCGCTAGCAGCCCGCGCGCGGCCTTTTCTGCGCGCGCGCCGACCGTTAGCCGCCCGCACGACCAGCGCCGCCCACGAGCAGCCCGCTAGCCGCCCGTCGACCGGCCCTCCTGGCCGTCCAGAGCGTCGCAGCCCCGCCCGTAGGCCGCCGCGTCGCCCTCGTAGGCCGCCGCCCGCGCGCGACTGCAGCCCACGCACAGCCGCGGACCGCCCGCTACAGCCGCCCACGCGCAGGCCCACCGTCGCGCCGTGTCGCGTAGCCTAGTCCAAGCCGCGCCGCGCCTCCCTGCCCGAGCCGTGCCGCCCGAGTCGCGCCGCCCGAATCGCGCCGCCCTGACCGAGCCGCGCCGCCCCACCTGCAGCAACTACTGTTCCTGTTCCTGCTACTGCTGCTACTGCTACTGCTACTGCTGCTACTGCTACTGCTACTGCTACTGCTACTGCTGCTACTGCTACTGCCACTATGGCCAGTCCTACTGTTCTCACTTTTGACGTTGAGGGCCGACCGATTAAGTTTGATGTCTGGCTCGATGACCTGCACCTGTTCCTCCAGATCACTGCCAAGGACGACGTTTCCCTGTATGACCACACGTCCGGCGCTGCTCCCGCACCTGCTGCTACTTCTGACAGTACTGCTCGCTTACAGTGGCAGACTCGTGACGCCCATGCTCGCCTAGCCGTTCGCAGCCACCTGCCGTTAGATGAGCGCGAGCACTTCGGCCATCATAAGACCGCTAAGGAGCTGTATGATGCTGTAGTTGCCCGCTACTCCTCCCCTGCTACTGCTGCGATAGGCCGTCTCTCGCTGCCCTATCTCTTCCCGGATCTGTCTGCCTTTGCCACTGTAGCTGACCTCATCACTCACCTCCGTACTAGTGATCTCCGCTACCGTGCCGCGCTCCCCCCCGATTTCCTCGCCAAGAACCCTCCCCCGATGTACCTCACCCTCTACCGCCTCGTCACTCGCCTCCCTGACTCTCTTCGCTCTGTCAGGGACCACTTTCTCGCTCTCTCACCCACCGATCTCACTGTCGACCTACTCGAGAAGGAACTCCTTGCAGCTCAGAAGAGCATTGTAGCTGTAGGTGCCTCTCGTGGCGACCCTCGCATTCCCTTCTTTGAGGGATGTTCCCCCTCCCCCCTTCTCCCCTCCATTGCATCTGCTGCTGCTGTCGACTTCCTCGGTGCTGAGGGGGCCGGAGCTGCGTTCGCTCCCAGTGGGAAGCGCAAGGGCGGCAGGGGCAAGGGGGGCCGGGGTGGCGATGGTGGCGGCGGGGGAGGTGGTGGTGGAGGGGGTGGAGGGGGCGGCGGCGGTGGCGGCGGTGGTGGGAGTGGTGCTGGTGGTGGGGGGGGCACTGGCGGAGCCGGGGGTGGTGGCGGCGGCGGTGGTGGAGGTGGCGGGGGTGGTGGTGGCAGTGGTGGCGGCGGTGGAGCTGGTGGCGGGCGCGGTGGAGCGGTGCAGCGTGGCGGGTTCGGCGGCGGCCAGAGGCAGCAGCAGCAGCGTCCCAGCGAGACCCAGTCGCCCCAGCAGCTCCGTGAGTGGTACTCTCAGCGTGGGGGGTCTGGGGGTGGAGGTACCTGCCCGTACGTCATCCGCACATGTGACCGCACTGGCCAGACCTGTGGGAGGTTTCACACGGCGCAGCGCTGTTTCTTTCGCCTCGACGATGCCTGGCGCGAGCAGTTTCCTGACGCCTCTGAGCTGCCCCGCTGGGCTGATCTGCTTAAGAAGGGAATTGATATCTTTGCTCTTGATTATGATGCTATCCTTGCTGCTATGTATGCATTGACCATTAGTGTTGAGGGTGACTGTTACGTGTCTGTACCGCCCGACCCGGGTATTGGGACCAGTGAGGCTGCAGCTCTAGGTGCTGGTGCGTCTGCTGCCCTAGGTCCTGGTGAGGCTACTGCTCTAGGTGCTAGTGCGTCTGCGTCTGCTGGTACAGCGTCTACTGAGGCACTGCACACCTTCACAGCGGACTCAGTTGCTTCCCGCTGTTTCTTTCGCGACCGCACTGCCCTAGAGCAGCTTCCTAGACCGGTTGCTGTCTCCCTGGCTGACCCCTCCGGGGGTTCGGTCCTTGCGACCTCCACCAGTGCCCTCCCCGGTCCTGCTGTCCCGTCTGGCACAGTGTCGGGCCTTTACCTCCCCTCGTTCTCTACGAACTTGGTGGCGGGTTCCGCGCTCCAGGACGCGGGTGTTCACCAGTTCACCCCTGCCTACGAGCGTGTGACGCACTGCACGTGTCCCCAGACGGGTAGTCACCTGGCTACCTTCACTCGGCAGCCGGGGTAGCTGCGTCTGCGTCTGCGTCAGCTGTCGGCCCCCTGCTCGTGTCGCTCCCTGTCGCACCGGACTGTCCTCTGGCACCACCGCCTTGGTCACCCGTCAGTGCAGCGCCTTCGCGGCATGCACTCCTGGTACCTTGTCTCTGGTCTTCCCAGGGTTCTCCCTCCCCTCCCACCCTCGCCTGCTCCTCCCTGTCTTCCCTGTGTCGAGGGGCGGCAGCGCGCCGCTCCTCACTCCTCCTCGTTCCCTCCCACAGAGGCTCCCCTGCAGACTCTCCACCTGGACGTGTGGGGCCCAGCCCGCGTCCGGGGACAGGGCCACGAGCGGTACTTCCTGCTGGTCGTCGACGACTACACGCGCTACACCACGGTCTTCCCCTTGCGTACCAAGGGTGAGGTCCCGGATGTTTTGATCCCTTGGATCCGCGCTGCTCGTCTCCAGCTCCGCAAGCGGTTCCAGTCGGACTTTCCCGTCCTGCGTCTGCACTCTGACAGGGGTGGTGAGTTTTCCTCCGACCTCTTGGCAGCCTACTGTGCGGAGCACGGCATCCGCCAGACGTTCACTCTTCCGGCCTCTCCGCAGCAGAATGGGGTTGCTGAGCGCCGCATTGGTCTAGTCATGGAGGTCGCTCGTACTTCCATGATCCATGCGGCTGCCCCTCATTTCCTGTGGTCGTTTGCAGTGCAGTACGCCGCGCATCAGCTCAACCTCTGGCCCCGTGTCTCTGCTCCGGAGACCTCGCCCAGACTGCGTTGGACGGGGGAGGTTGGCGATGCGTCGGTGTTCCGAGTCTGGGGATGTCGAGCCTTTGTCCGCGATACGTCCGCGGACAAGCTCTCCTCCCGTGCCGTTCCCTGTGTCTTCCTTGGCTTTGTCCCTGACGCGCCTGGCTGGCAGTTTTACCACCCCACCTCGCGTCGTGTCTTCCCCTCTCAGGACGTCACGTTTGACGAGTCGGTACCCTTTTACCGTCTCTTCCCCTACCGCACTGCCCCGCTCCCCCCCCCCGCCGCTCTTCCTCACCCCAGGTGTCCCGTCGGTAGACCCCCTCCGTCCCCAGGGTGCTGCTCCCTCAGGTGTGTCGCAGGTAGACCCGGTCGAGCCTGTCGAGGTAGCTGTTGACTCTGGTCCTGCGCGAGGTGCTGAGCGTGCTGAGCCTGGGGGTGCGGAGACTGGGGGTGTTGAGCCTAGGGGTGCGGAGACTGCGGGAGCTGAGCCTGGGGGTGCTGAGACTCGGGGTGCTGAGCCTGGGGGTGCTGCGACTGGGGGTGCTGAGCCTAGAGGAGCTGAGGCTGGGGGATCTGAGACTGACCGTGCTGCGCCTGGTGGCGCTCCCTCTTCACAGCAGCTACGTGAGTGGTACTCCCAGAGTTACAGCCTCCGGCGTGGGGCTACTGGAGCTGGGGTTTCAGCTAGAGCTGGGGCTGGTGGCCCTGCGGGTGCAGTGTCGCGGCCGGAGCCTCCCTCCCCTTAGCGGCTACGGGAGTGGTACGCAGCCTCCGGAGTGGAGCTCCTAGTGTTGAGGTGCTGCCCGCTGGAGGCCCTGCTGCTACTGGAGGTACTGGAGCTGCTGGAGGTGCTGCTGATGCTGGTGCTGCTGGAGGTGCTGCTGGTGCTGCTGGAGGTCCTGGAGCTGCTAGAGGTGCTGCTGGTGCTGGTGCTGCTGGAGGTGCTACTGGTGCTACTGGCGGTACTGGAGCTGCTGGAGGTGCTGCTGGTGCTGGTGCTGCTGGAGGTGCTGCTGGTGCTGCTGGAGGTACTGGAGCTGCTGGAGGTGGTGCCGGTGCTGGTCCTACTGGAGGTGCTGCTAGTGCTGCTGGAGGTACTGGAGCTGCTGGAGGTACTGCTGGTGCTGGTCCAGCTGGAGGTTATGGTGCTGTCTCTGCTGGTTCTGGGGGCACTTCACGACCGCGGCCGTACTTCGTTCCGCTCCTTCAGCAGGTTCTTGGTCAGCCGCCTCCTCCTGGTCCTGCTCCAGTGTCCTCCGCCTGTCCAGTCGCAGTCACACCAGAGCTTCACCTAGCCTGGGGGTGTGTTGGAGTAGGCTAGAGCTCGCTCTGGCATTTATCATGGTGTTCTTTTGTTATTTCGCCATGTTTAGAGCGAGTTACGCTTCCGGTTCACTTTAGGTTCATTTCTTAGTTTCTAGTACAAACTGAACACGCCCTAAGTTCACTTAGGGTTTCCTACATTTGTATCTCGACACTTTTCCTAGTCAATCTCTTCGACTACTATCTCTAGCTATGGCCCTAAGTCCTATCTTAACACGCCCTGCCCGTCCCGTCCCGTCCGTGGCGCCCTGCCCGTCGTGCCCCTGGTTTGCCTTTCCCGTCGTCCGTGCCCCCCCCCCCCACCCTCGTCGCTCCGCGCTGTCCCGTCGTCCGCCCCCCCCCCCCATTGTCTCGTCGGGACGACGGCAGGCGCAGCCAGTGGCGGAGCGGAGGCTTCTCCAATAGCAGCAGACGACGTCACAACCACAGGCACGGGCGCCGACACCCTCACGGGGACAGGTGGAACCACCGGCGCAGGCGCAGGAGTGTGCGCAGGATCAAACGCCGCAGCCGGACCATGGGCAGGGGCAGGAGCAGACGTCGAGGCGAGCGCGGGAGCAGGTGACGACGCGGGCGCGTGACCAGGCGCCACGCCAGGCACAGACAACGACGCCACGACGGGAACGGGCAGCGCAGCAGGCGCGAGGACAGGGCCAGCCTGAGTCACAGATGACGGCGCAGATCGAGGTGCTGGAAGAGGCGACATCCCCACAGCCGCAGGAGCCGGGGACGACAAGGCTGGAGGGGCAATTGCAGCTGACGCCATGACAAAGGGCTGCGGCGAGTACGAATAATACTCGTCGCCAATCGATACAGGCATCGCGGGGCGGACGAGGCGGCGGACGAGGAGGAGCGACTGGAAGGGGAGGCGGACCTGAGAATGGCTTCCAGAGGGAAGCCGCCGGGCCTTAACTCGAAGAGTGGAGAACACTGAAGCTGAGGAGGAGGCAAGAGACCCTACGTTTATAGCTGAGGTGGTGGAAGAGTCCACCACGGAAGAATCGGGGGAGTTAGAGGAGGAGGAACGGGAAGGTAGACGTCGGGCAAACCCAACACCACGCCAAGCCGCTCCAATTCCAGCTGCAACAGGTGGCGAATTAAACCGGCCGGTACCAGACACCACCGCATCAGAGGCCCGCCAATTCTCGCCTGAACAATTGGCCGAGGACTTGGTGCGGTTCGGCGAAGTGGAATTGTGGGACCTGACCCCTCAACGCGACAGTCGCCAGCCCCCGCTTTCGCGTAAACTCCCTGCTGACATTCGCCCACTTTTCGCCACAGCCCTCCTGACACCCCTCCTTCACCTCGCGCGTAACCCTGCATCAGTCGCAGGCTGGCGCCTGTTACTCTTTCTCCCGCGCCTCACCCTTTGCCTCCCGTCAACGGAGAAGCCCGATTGGCCGGCGGTCAAGCACCGACTTCGCCAGTTTAACAAAGGCGAATGGCAGCAGCTGTACAATTCGGCGGTTACCGCAATCACTGGACCACACCCGCCTCGCCATACGCCAGATGCCCTTGGCAAACGTGCCAGGGCAGAAGGACTCGGGCGAAAAGGAAGCCTTCGCAGGGCGATCCTCGCCCTTGAGTTAACGCCGGTCGCCGACCCATCTGCACCCATCCTCGCCGCTCTCAAAGCAAAACACCCCCCCGCGCCACCTGGTACCATCGATTGGAACATCCCCGATACTGTTCACGCGGCGTCGATAAAAAAAGGGGACTTCATTAAATTGCTGTGCCGTTGTGAGAACGGGGTGGGAGGAGGACCGTCGGGTATGACATTTGAACACCTGCGTGATGCATCACTCGCCAACGCGGGGGTTACCACACACCTCCACGCCCTCGTCAACACTATTTTGGGAGGCAAACTGCCTGACGAGGTCTGCTCGCTACTAACAGCCAGCCGTCTCATAGCTCTAGCCAAGCCTGACGGAGGAACTAGACCGATAGCGGTAGGCGAGTGTATCTTACGATTAGCCGCCAAGTCCGCCCTCTCAGCCCTCTCCCAAGTCTGCCGTGCACATTTCCTCCCGTTACAGTACTGCGTGTCCGCCCAGGGCAGTAGCGAAGCGATTATCCATGCCGCGAGGGCCTTCACTTACGCAAAAGCCGGAACGCTTATACTGCAAGCCGACCTAGCGAACGCCTTTAACTCGATTAGCCGCGCGGCAGTAGTCAGTGCACTTCGCGACACCGACCTCCAAGGCCTTATTCCCCTCGTCAAAGCATCCTATAGCAGGCCGACCCAGTTGTTCCTTGACGCGGGGTTCGGTTGCGAGGCACTAACTAGCGAGACAGGCGTACGACAGGGGGATCTGCTCGGCCCGCTGCTGTTTGCCGCAGGGATCCACCCTATTCTCACCACGACAGCAGCAGCCTTCCCTACGGTTCTATGCCTAGCATTCGCTGACGACATCACCTTCCTGGGCCCTGCTGCTGACTGCTCCGACGCTTTCCGCCACTTCACGGCTGGCCTACGCGACGTAGGACTGACCCACAACCCAGGGAAGTGCGCCGCGTGGAGCGCAGCAGCAATAGACTCCCAGCAGCTGCCCGAGGGCGTCCCGCTACGCACGGAGGGGCTGAGAGTGCTGGGAAGCTTCATTGGCACAACAGACGGAGCAGCAGCCTTTCTACGATCACAGCTCAAGACACTGTCGTCCCTGCTGCCCCACTTAGCAAAAATGGACCCCCAAGTAGCGGCATTACTCCTAACACGGTGTATCTCCAGGCGCATTTCATGCCTAGCCCGCACCATACCCCTATACCTGTTACCCGAAGCAGAGTGGTCAGGGTGGGGCCGGGCGCTGCTGTACACGCTTCTAGATGCTTGCGGGGTGCGCCACCCAAGGGGAGAGACAGAGGACGATCGTATCTGGGACCAAGCCTCACTCCCACCAAGCCTAGGCGGCCTGGGCCTCGCCAACCCAGCGGTAGAGGGCCGGTACAGTTTTCTGGCAAGCTTTGTGCAGGCACACACACTCCTCGGTCAGCTAGAGGGGCAGGCAGGGGCCACTTTGACAGCGGCATTGGACACCCCCGCAGCAGCCGACCACAGCCCCAACGAGCTGCAGAGGTGGATCGGGGATTGCAGGGACAGCCTCATGCAGGAGGCGAGGGACCTCATCTCGGCGGAGCAGGCAAAACCCAAGGGCCAGCTGCAACACCGCCTCGCTCTCCTAGTCCAAGGGGGCCGGAATGCAGCCCAGATTGCCGCATCTAGGCAGATGGAGCTGAACCCACTGCTAGGCCACACCCAGCGCCTCATGTCCCTCACCGACTATGGGGCGGGGGACTGGCTCATGGCGATCCCCTACATGCCTTCCCTACGCCTATACCCCTGCCACTTCACGTTCGCCCTCCAGTTTAGGCTCGGCCTGCCACTCTCTGTACCCGACTGCTGTGACTGCACCAAACGGGTCCCCATCCTGGATAAGAGGCTGCCGAACCACTTGCTTAGGTGTGGTACAGGGCACGGCCGGACCAACACCCACAACGAGCTGCGCGACGAGTGCATCCGCATGGCGAAGGATGTAGGATTTGCAGTGCACAAGGAGTGCACTACCTTTAGCCCGGTCGACAACAAGAAGGCCGACTTGGCCTTCAGGGATGGGAGCTCGGGGGCGGTATGGCTGGCGGACATCACAATAACAGACCCCATCAGTAAGCGGGATGAGACCGCAAGGAAGGGGAGGGGTTGGGCAGCACGGGAGGCAGCAGACAAGAAGATAGGCCTCTATCACGACAGGGCTGAGTTTGCTGGGTTTGTTCCTTTGGCGGTAGAGACCTATGGCTGCCCCTGTGACGAGGTGCCCACCTTCCTGAAGCTGCTGGCGGACAAAGCTGCACGGAGAATCTTCAACGCGGACCCATCTACCTACCAGGCCGTGAAGATGCTCCACCAGTTCCGCCAGCGCTGGTCGGTCGCACTCCAGAGAGCCCAGGCGGTGAGCTTTCTCACAAAGCTGAACCTGGCAGCAAGAGCAGAGAACCCCCCACTGGGGGGACCAGATGGGGAGATGAACCCGGGGGACTGTTTCTCAATGCTAGAGGCACCTTAGATAGAAAGGGGGGGGGGGGGGGGGGGGGGGGGGTTGGGAGGGTAGAAGGGTGTGTGTTCGCTAGGTTTTGTGCTCTGTAGGTTTGTGTTTGTTTGTCCCTGTTTGCTTGTCTCCGTGCTAGATGTGCCCTGCCCTAGAATCTGCATGTTTGTACCGAGCCCCACTTATCAATACAAAGGACCGTTAGAGAGAGAGAGAGATTGGGAGGAACCCACGGCAGCCGCAGATGGTTCCCAGGAGCAGCAACAGATACAACGGGAGCACGAGGAGGAGGAGCGGCGGACGAGGGTAGAGGAGGTGCAGGCGCATAGGGCGCAGCTGGAGGAAGTGACACCAGCGCAGGAGCGACGCGCGGCGAATTGCTCAGGCTCGCCTGCCCGTTCCGAACCTCGCGCATCGCGTCAGACACAACTCGCTGCAAGTCGGCCATTGTCACCGGCTGATCATACATCCAGCCGCCACCGCGACCACGCCCTCCCCACCAGCCTCCTCGGCCGCCACGGGGTGCAGCCCAGTTCGCCTGCAAACCACGGCGCCGAGGAGAATCGTGCCACCGCCGTGACGTCTCCCTCTCGTCACGTGGCACAGGGGAATGAGGCTGATGCTGCCGACGGCCCGGGGACGGAGGACGTTGAGCGGGGGGAACAGCAGCAAGGGGTGCGGGAACAGGACCCGCCTGGACGGTCGGAGGCGGCGCTGGTGTTGCCACAGGCATAGGGGCAGGAGCAACCGGAGGCGACACGCGAGTCGACTGAACCTCCGCCGAGCTCAGGCCGGCGCTGGTGGCTAGAGGTGGCCGGTAAGTTGGGTCCGCAGCAGCAGCAGCAGAAGGCGCCACGGCAGGCGCAACCGGTGGCGGCACGGAGGCTGCTCCAACAGCAGCAGACGACGCCGCGACTACAGGCACGGGTGCCGACACCCCCACGGGGACAGATGGAACCACCGATGCGGGTGCAGGAGTGTGCGTAGGATGAGACGCCGCAGCCGGCCTAGGAGCGAGCGCAGGAGCAGACGTCCAGGCGTGCGCTGGAGCGGGCGACGACGCGGGCGCAGGACCAGGTGCCACGGCAGGCGCAGACAACAACGCCACGACGGGAACTAGCGCCGCAGCAGGCGCAAGGACAGGGCCAGCCGGAGTCACGGATGACGGCGCAGATCGAGGTGCGGGAAGAGGCGACATCCCCACAGCCGCCGGCGCCGAGGATGATAAGGTCGGAAGGGCTACTGCAGCTGACGCCACGACAAAGGGCTGCGGCGAATACGAATGATAAACATCGCCTATCGATACAGGCATCGCGGGGCGGACGAGGCGGCGGACGAGGAGGAGCGACTGGGAGGGGAGGCGGACCAGAGAATGGCTTCTAGAGGGAAGCACGCCCGGCCTTAACTCGAAGAGTTGATCGAACAAAAGCTGAGGAAGAGGCAGACGATCCTACGTTTATAGCTGCGGCGGTGGAAGAGTCCACCACAGAAGAGTCGGGGGAGTAAGAGGAAGAGGAACGGGAAGGTAGACGCCGGGCACAGCCAGCACCACACCAAGCTGCTCCAATCTCAGCTACCCCGAGGGGTGAGCTTAACCGGCAGGAACCGGACACCACCGCATCAGAGACCCGCCAATTTTTGCTAGAGCAACTGGCCAGAGACACAGTGCGGTTCGGCGAAGTTGAAATGTGGGATTTGACTCCCTTACGCGACAGTCGTCAGCCCCCACTTTCGCGCAAACTCCCTGCTGACATTCGCCCGCTTTTCGCCACAGCCCTCCTGACACCACTACTCCACCTCGCGCGTAACCCTGCTTCAGTCGCGGGTTGGCGCCTGTTACTCTTCATCCCGCGACCTACCCTTCGCCTGCCGTCAACGGAGAAGCCCGATTGGCCGGCTTTCAAGCGCCGTCTTTGCCAATTCAACAAAGGCGAATGGCAGCAGCTTTACGACTCGGCAGTTACCGCAATCACTGGACCACACCCACCTCGTCATACGCCAGATGCCCTTGGCAAACGGGCCAGGGCAGAAGGCCTTGGGCGAAAAGGAAGCCTTCGCAGGGCGATCCTCGCCCTCGAGTCAACGCCGGTCGCCGACCCATCTGCAACCATTCTCGCCGCTCTCAAAGCAAAACACCCCCCCGCGCCACATGGAATCATCGATTGGAACATCCCCGATACTGTTCAAGCGGCATCGATCGAAAAAGGGGACTTCATAAAATTGTTGTGCCGCTGTGAGAACGGGGTGGGAGGGGGACCGTCTGGTATGACATTTGAACACCTGCGTGATGCATCACTCGCTAACGCGGGGGTACCACACACCTCCACGCCCTCGTCAACACTATCCTACCAGACGAGGTCTGCTCGCTACTAACAGCCAGCCGTCTCATAGCTCTAGCCAAGCCCGACGGAGGCACTAGACCGATAGCGGTAGGAGAGTGCATCTTGCGACTAGCCGCCAAGTCAGCCCTCTCGGCCCTCTCAAAAGAGTGCCGTGCGCATTTCCTCCCGTTACACTACTGCGTGTCCGTCCAAGGCGATAGCGAAGCGATAATCCACGCTGCGAGAGCATTTACGTGCGCAAACCCAGACATGCTTATACACTAGGTGGACCTGGCGAACGCGTTTAACTCCATTAGCCGCGGAGCAGTAGTTGGTGCACTTCGCGACACAGATCTCCAGGGTCTCCTCCCCCTCGTCAAAGCATCATATAGCCGGCCAGCCCAGTTGTTCCTTGACGCGGGGTTCGGTTGCGAGCCGCTGAATAGCGAGACAGGCGTGCGACAAGGTGATCCGCTCGGCCCGCTGCTGCTTGCCGCAGGGATCCACCCCATCCTCTCAAAGACAGCAGCAGCTTACCCATCAGTTCTGTGCTTAGCATTCGCCGACGACATCACTTTCCTGGGCCCTGCAGCTGAGTGTTCAGAAGCTTTCCGCCACTTCACGCTAGGACTATGCAACGTAGGGCTGACCCACAACCCTGAGAAGTGCGCCGCATGGAGCGCAATGGCCATAGATCCCCAACAGCTGCCCCAGGGTGTCCCACTACGCACAGAAGGGTTGAGGGTGCTGGGAAGCTTCATCGGTTCGACGGAAGGAGCAGCAACCTTTCTACGGTCACAGCTAGAGATAATGTCGTCCCCACTACCCCACATTGCGAGCATGGACCCACAAGTGGGTGCGCTGCTACTAACACGGTGCATCTCCAGGTGCATCCCTTACCTTGCCCGCACCACACCTCTGTACCTGCTACCCGAAGCTGAGTGGTCAAGGTGGGGTCGCGCTCTGCTGTACACGCTTCTAGATGCTTGCGGGGTGCGCCACCTGAGGGGAGAGACAGAGGACAGATGGATCTGGGACCAAGCCTCACTCCCACCTAGCCTAGACGGCCTGGGCCTCGCCAACCCTGTGGTAGAGGGCAGATACAGTTTCCTGGCGAGTATCGTGCAGGCCCACACACTCCTCGGCCAGCTAGGAGGCCAAGCAGGGGCCACCCTGACAGCGGCACTAGAGATACCCGAAGCAGCAAACCACAGCCCTAATGAACTACAGCAGTGGATCCAGGAATGCAGGAGCAGCCTCACGCAGGAGGCGAGGGATCTTATCTCAGCGGAGCAGGCAAAACCAAAGGGCCAACTGTAGCACCGCCTTGCTCTCTTAGTCCAAGGGGGCCGGAGCGCCACCCAGATCACCGCATCCAGGCAGATGGAGCTGAACCCACTGCTGGGCCACACCCAACGCCTCATGTCCCTCACAGGCTATGGGGTAGGGGACTGGCTCATGGCGATCCCCTACATGCCAGCCCTACGGTTATACCCCTGCCACTTCACGTTCGCACTACAGTTCCGCCTCGGCCTGCTGCTCTCTGTGCCTGACTACTATGACTGCAGCAAACGAGTCTCCATACTGGATAAGAGACTGCCGAATCACTTGCTCCGATGCGGTACTGGGCACGGCCGGACCAACACTCACAACGAGCTCCGTGATGAGTGCATCCGCATGGCACAGGATGCAGGTTTTGCTGTGCACAAGGAGTGCACTGCCTTTAGCCCGGTGGACAACAAGAAGGCTGACTTGGCCTTTAGGGATGGGAGCTCAGGGGCGGTGTGGTGGGGTGGGACATTTCGCCACTCTGCGATAGTCGCCAACCCACTCTGTTACGACGGCTACTGCCAAACTTGTGCGAGATTTTCTCACTCGCAATGCTGACACCACTCCTCCAGCTCTCGCGAAACCCAGGCTCCGTCGCGGGGTGGAAGTTACTCTTATTTCTCCCGCACTTGACTCTGCGTCAGGGTTCGCCGAAACAACCTGATTGGCCCAAAATCAAGGCACCACTCCGTGCTTTTCAACGCGGCGAGTGGCAGCAGCTGTACTTGGACGCGGTTGAAGCTGTCAACGCACCACCCCCACCGCGTCACCAGCCTGAGGACGTGGGGACCATCAGCAGAGTGGAGGGCCTGGCAAGGAAAGGGAGTCTGGGCCGGGCCGTGTTGGCGCTCGAGTCAACACCAGTCTGTACGCCCAGCCCAGAGATTCTGGAGGAACTCCGCCGAAAGCACCCCACAGCCGACCCCGAACCCCTGACCTGGCCTGACATCACCGAGCCGCCCAACCTCGAAATTTCCTACGCGGGTTTTTCGAAAATGCTCACCCGATGCCAGAACGGCGTCGGGGCCGGCCCGAGCGGAATGACATTCGAACATCTTCGTGACTGGTCAGTAACAAATGCATCAGTCTCGACCCATCTGCACGCCTTAGTAAGTACGATTCTGAGGGGAAATCTGCCGCTGCCAGTCGCGGAACTGCTCACATCATTACGTCTGATAGCTCTGGCCAAGCCAGAGGGTGGGGCCCGCCCGATAGCGATTGGAGAAAGCCTGACCCGCCTGACTGCAAAAGCTGCACTGGCAGCCCTGGGCGAAGCGGCGCGGGGATACTTTCTCCCTCTCCAGTATGGTGTAGCTGTGCCAGGAGGAGCCGAAGCAATCATTCACAGTGCTCGAGTATTCACGGATGCACACCCAAACTGCCTTACGCTACAGACAGATACTTCCAACGCCTTCAACAGCATATCGAGACAAGCCGTAATAACTACTCTACATGACCCGTCACTTTCACCTCTACTGCCCCTAGTCAAGATGACATACGGCCACCCATCATCACTCTACATGGACGCCAGTTTCGGTAGCGCGCCACTGAGAAGTGAACGCGGGGTGCGACAAGGGGACCCCTAGGTCCGCTTCTGTTCGCGGCCGGGATCCACCCCGCGTTATGAGCAACGGCAGCAGCACATCCCGGCGTACTATGCCTGGCATACGCTGATGATGTCAGCTTCTTGGGCGACCACCTCGATACCGTAGCTGCCTTTTCGCATTTCACGAACCAATTATCCCAAGTAGGTCTGCGACACAACCCGGGGAAATGCGTCGCATGGAGCAACCACACGATAGACGAGGAAGTGCAGCTGCCGCCCGGGGTGCCGACTAGCATGGAGGGTGTCCGGCTTCTCGGTAGCTTCCTAGGAACACCAGAGGGTGCCACCTCCTTCCTATCCGCGCAGCTCCAGTCGATGTCCAAACCTCTGCCACTGATAGAACGAATGGACCCGCAGATCACATCTCTCCTGCTCACTCGCTGCATCTCACGTCGAGTGGCGTATCTCACGCGAACGACCCCTCTGAATCTTCTGGACAGGGACATCTGGCTCCAATGGGGTAGGGACCTGCTGGCCACCTCCTTACAGCATGCAGCATACGCTTACCATCGGACGGTGAAGAACAGACCAGGGTTTGGGAGCAGTCGTCACTCCCACTGTCGTTAGGAGGCATAGGACTCATAGACCCCACGGTGGAGGGAACATTCGGCTTCCTTGCCAGTTTTACGCAAGCCTCACTCCTCCTTAGTGCCCTGCCGCTGGAGTCAGAAGTGGCCTTGACAGCGGCGAGGAATCACATGCTACTTCTGCGAGATAACACCACCACTCTACACCGCTGGCTGGCCAAATGCGAGAGACAACTGCCGCAGGAGGCCAGGGACTTTCTAGACAAGGAGAGACTCGAGCCTTCAGACCTAAAGCTGCAGCACGAGCTCGGGGTGAGAGTGCAGGGGAGAAGATATGCCAAACAGGTACAGGCAACTCGGCGCATGCGACTGAACCCATTGTTAAGCCATACCCAACGATTCTTCTCTCTGACTGGCTACGGCACCGGGGACTGGCTGACTGCAGTCCCGATAGAATATACCCGCAGAGTAGGTCCCGAGCACTTCGCCAATGCCGTCCGCTTCAGACTAGGGCTTCCCTTCTCTACAC